AGCGAAGGAGGACCATGCATGGATCTCCTTAGAAACCACCACCAGATGCCACCACCAGATCTGCTTTGAGAGCATGAAAAGCAACTAGAAACGTTGAGGAGGGTCGGCAACTTACAGCCCACCGGCTCCAACCTGCCCCCCCCCCCACCCCCCCCCCACCCCCCGGCTTCCCCCCCCCCCGCTTCCTGGCAGCCCCCTGCCCCTCCTGGCAGCCCCTCCCCGCCTCCTGGCAGCCCCCCTGCCCCTCCTGGCACCACCCCACCCTTATTTTAGAGAAAGAGATGGAAAAAGTGGGGCAAGCCCCCAACACCCCCCCCCAAAGCCCAGGATGGGCGGAGAAACAGGGTGTGTGGGGGGGGGTTCTTCCCCCCCACCCGGCAGGGCTGAAATGGGTGGGGTGGGGGGAGGCAGGCAAGACTCCCCCCTCCCCACATGCACCATCCCAATGACAGGCATGTTCAGCAGTGCATTTCCTCCTGCTTCCCCCCCACCCCTGGGGGGGCAGGCAAAGCACCACCACACACGCACGGCCACGCACCCCGAAAGACACACTCGGCTTTCGTGTTAACTTGTGTGCTCCTCATCCTCCTTCCTGCTTTCTTCAACACCCCCCCACACACACACACACCGCACCCAGCCAGCCTGCAACGCCTCCGCCTTTGCAAGCCGGCAGCCCCTCCAGGCGACCTCCCGGGCCGGCTGCTCCTTCCCCTCACCGGCATCTCGGCGGCGGCGGCAGAGGAGGCTCCTCCGGGCAGGGAAGCAGCTTCGGGCGAGGCGACGTCCGCGGTGCAAAGGCGGCCCCGCTTCCTGCCTCCCTTCCCGCTTCCTCTTCCAGCTGCGCGCAGCCGGCAGGAAAGGCGGCCGGCAGGGGGCGCCGGAGGGCAGCGGAGCTGGCCCGGGCTCGGAGGGCTTCGACTCCCGGCGTGCCTCGGCGGGCGCAGAGGGTTGTGGGAAGTGAAGTCCTGCACATCTGGGGCTGCTCAGGTGCTGCAGAGGCCAGATTGAGCGTAGAAACCTCTGTAAAAAATGAACCAGGCAAGTTTTCTGGAGTTTGGGAAGCTCCCCCTTGAAATTCAACAAGGAAATACATCCTTGGATAGATGGCCATAATAATAATAGTAATAATAGTAATAGTAATAATAATAGTAATAATAATAGTAGTAATAGTAGTAATAATATAATTAGTAATAAATAATAATAATAAAGTAATAAATAATAATAATAAAGTAATAAATAATAATAAAGTAATAAATAAATAATAAATAATAATAATAAAGTAATAAATAATAAATAGTAATATTATTATTATCATTATCATTATTATACACAAAAATGACAGTGTACACAGAAAACGAGATGACTATGCTGGGTTTTGTATCACAAATCACTAGTCGATCACTTCCCAAGCGTTTAGGACTGCGTGATGCATTGCCGGATTATGTGAGCAGATCCCAGTAATGGGATTATGATGATGATGATATTATTATTGTTTATGAAACTTGTAGGTCACCCAATTTTCAATGACTGGCCAGACAGATGTTCAGCCTGGATTTGCCATTTTTGTTCACTTATCGAGTCCTTCCCAATCAGGAGGCTGTGGGTTCAATCCTAGGTAAAGGTGGATCTTTCTCTCTGGGCACACTGAGACTGTATTGCTGAACAAAATTCCGCCCTGGTGACAGGAAAGGCATCCAGCCAGGAAGCACTATGCTAAGCTCCGTTCAGTTACCCAGATTCCACCCGCAAGGGATTATGGGGTCGTTAAATGATGGAGTCCTTCCTAAGGCAGATATTATTGTTTAATATTATTAAAGGTATCAGTACAGGATTATTATCATTACTAATTGTAGGCCACCTGATTCTCAGTGAGTTTGGGTAGCTCACACAAATGACAATAAAAACAATATTTTTTTAAAAAAAATAACAAGCGCCATGAACCTTTTCCTTCACCAGGATGAAAATGTTTTTTGGATCCTCTTTTCTGGCCTCCTGGTCTCTAAACAGGGACCGTGGGAGGTCAAAGTTACACCTGTTGAATTTCAGTCTGCACATGGCTGCCACTGGCACAGGGGAGAAGGTGAGAATAGTTTTAGCCCAAAGATTACACCACATGCACTTCTGAGTTTGAGTCCTTTCATGTTTCTAAGTTAACAAAACCACAGTACTATAAATTATGTCAAGGCAAACCTGATGTTTCTTTTCCGTTTACTCAGAAAGCCACCAAGAGGGAGAAAAACGAAACTCAATAATTTATTTCTTACAATGCATACTGAACGTCTTCCAAAAATAAAACTTTGTGGCGCAATCCAACGTTAAACCCCTTGCGGGCAAAGAGCCCTGTTCTTCGATTGCTCCCAACAGTTTGTGAATTTCGAAATGCAGCATCAAAAAACGTTAACACCCTTTTCTGTGCATTCGAGTGAAATTGAAAACTGTCATTCGTCCACTCCATCCTGGAAGAATTCATCAAAAGCCGAAGATTTCTCTTCCTCTTTTTCCTGTACAAAATACATTTCATTTTAGAATGATTGAAGCTTGCACAGCTACCCAGAACAAGAGAAAGAGACAACGGGGCTTATACTGCAACTGTTCCTTATCAAACCAAGATATGCTGTCCTTCTAGATAAACTAATCCAGATTTCTACATGACGCTTTGCATCAGGGCAGGAAAAAAAAAAAAGTCCAGAATAAGTCTCCTGCACTCAGGTTACTTACTTACACAGGTTATTAAAACTGTGTGTGTCTGTGCTACTTTGTTAGACACAAAAACATTGAATCAGAGAATTGGAAGGAATCTAAAAGGTGTTCAAGTCCAACCCCCAAAACACTGAATTTACACCGACCCTATTATCTAGCCCATATGAAAATTCCCAGTGAAGAGGAAAGTACTCTTCCCACAGTCACCCATTCCCCTTATTTTTATATATATCCTTCAAGTTTATCCCACAAGGCAGCACACAGAGCTCCCTCTCCTCTTTTCCCCTGCACAACCACCGTGTGAGGTAGGACAGGCAAAAATACACCGATTCTCCCCATCTTATTCACTGGGCTTTCACACAGCTTGTGGCAGGAACTGAATTTGGAGTCCCCTTGCCTTAATCCAGGGCCTTGATCCTGCAACCCCAGGCTGGCCTGGGACAAAGTAAGCATCCCATCGCCAACCATTCCTGCTTGACCACTTTCCATTTTGAGAAGCAGCTTTCAGGCAGAGAGTTCCAATCCTGACTCTGTTTTTTGTTTTTTAGCTGGAGGTGTGGAGGGATCCAGACTGAATTTCACAGGTGCCAAAATAACCCACATCTGATTGAACTAAGATGGATTAGAATTGTGTGTGTGGTGTGTGTGTGTGTGTGTGTGGATCCTTAAGGAAAATGGCACCGGCTTTTGCCAAGAGGGCTTGGCGCCTTCACCTTTGGCTCCTTAAATTCCAGGTCTTCCCCGTACTGAATGGCGAAATCAATATGCTGCAGGACGATATTGATGCTCTCCTCGTCGGACCGATCGAGCGGCAGGAAGCGAACGATGCTGTAATCGTCGATCTAAACGAAACACAACGCCCTCAGTCCGTTCGAAGAGAAAAAAAAACTGGATCGGTTGTTGTTGACCTCATCCTTAGCACAACGGATTGCCTGATTCAGGATTTGGGAACTGCCTTTTCCCCGCTTTCCACAAATAAGGGCACTATAAATTTGGGTTAGAGGAAGGCCTCGGGATGCCATGCGTGGAAAGAAACACCTGCCACTTACCAAGCCACAGATAGCTTTGGTTAATTTCTTAAACTGCCGGCTTTTGAGCAGATCTGTGGAATCATCCAAGGCAGAATACATGTCAGGATCCAGATATCTGGAAGAAATTGAGTAGATTCATTTAAACCAACACAAACATTAATGCTAGCTTTAATCATTTCTTTCTCCCCCCACCCCAATTTCTCTTCCCTGTTTGCTTTTTTCCCAAAAAATGTACAATCAAATGAAGATTGAAACCAACCTTCTCAGTGTCAAAATCCCAGGCAAAGTGGAACTATTCCTCGTTCACACTTACTTTTCGATCTCGCTTTTTGCTTTCTTGCTCAGCAAATCCATCTTGGACATGACGTTTATCTGGGAGATCTCTAAGGAAACCATAGCACTAAGAGCTGCCATTGCACCAGAAATAAACTACCATCAGGAGGAGACAGGAAAAGAAAAAAGAAAAATCACACAAAATCTGTGTATGCTCCGTTCTCCAATATGTCACTCATTTAATGCCCACTTAATGCCTCCAAACGCAAACAGACGATAATTCTGTCACCATACAGGACAAACTGAAAAATATCTTGCGGATTGTCCATAGCATGGGGTTTCAATTTTCAACACCTCTGAATCCGTAAGATACCTTAAAAGATTCCACCATGAATTGAGAATCGACAAGGAAAACACCGCAGACATGGAATTCCCACTGTTGCAGCTTGTCTACAAAATGTTTCATCACCGGCAAGTGAGTGTAGAGTTCAATCTGACCTAAAAAGGAGAAATAAGTTTATTCTTTTCAAGTATCCGTCTCCCAATTCCACAGAAGAAAATCTCAAGGAAGATATTTAAAACTAGAAAAAAAAAATCAGATATCAAACCAAAACGATCACAGACTGACGGGGGATTTGTGTGTGCTGGAGAAACCAGAAAGAGATAAACTCTTTGACAATCATAAAATGAGATATATCTTCCCTCTCTGCCTTTTTCTTTATCGTACTAAAGTTTACCGATTTCTTCCACATTAAAATTTCAAGGCCACACAGTGCCAGAAAGATTACAGCCACTTGAGAGTTTCCGGTTTGTCGGCTTCGCGAGCGGTAGGGATTCGCGAAGCTGCGCGATCCCTGCCGCGCTAGCCGTTTTGGGGCTCCGACCCGGACGGGTGCGGAGCAAGGCTGCCCTGCAGGGGTAGCTGAAGGTAAGGGGGATCCGGAGGAAGGGTTTGGGGGTGTTGCAGACCCCCTCCCTGGCCGGCAGAACCCCCTGTTACCAGGACGGTGCAGCGGCGGTCCGTAATGGCCGCCACAAAGAAGTTGACAGCCGGGCAAGTATGCGCAGGAGGAAGAAGAGAAAGTTATTGAAAGTAAAAGTTCTTCTTGGTCGACCCAGGGCTTTGAGATTTATCTAATTTAATTCCTGGAAAAGATGGTTTTCTGATGATTTCTTCCACAAGAGAAAAAAAAGCGGCTATTTTGAGGTGCTGAAGGGAAAGTTTACTCTCCCTCCCGACGGAATTAAGCCGGAAGGGAGAGGATAAAGAAAATATATAAATTTGGATCTTGTTGGAGGAGATGCCTTGAAGACTTGAGGACAGAAATACAATCTTAATAAGGCTTTAAAATATAGACTTGGATTCTTTTTTTTTTTATTTGTTTGATACCACCCCTGGAAGAGGAAGGGGGAATTTTGGCTTGCTTGGATTTATTGAGGATTGTGGATTTTGGGATTGTTTTGCCTTTCTCTCGGAATATTTGGTTGGTGTAAGAAGAAAGAGGAATAAAGAAAAGAAAAGATTTATTTATAATGGCTTTCCTTTTTGAAGACCTGAGGGATGAATATGAGCAAACAAAAGCAACCTGCAAAGATGGCATGGAAAAAGCTTTTCTATTTCTAGAAATGGCGCTGGTCAATTACCAACAGACAATGGAACAGATGGAAACGGAAGAAGAACAACAAGGAAGAGACGAAGACGCCATCTTCATTGAATCCCAAAACTTATCTAAGGAAGAAGGAAGGAAGAGAGCAAGGAAAATGAAGGACTTAAGATCTAAAAAAACATTTGAGAAAGAGAAAAATATGATTCAAAGTAAATATAATGATAATAAACAAGAGAAAAAGGGAACACAACAGAGAAGGGATCCCAGCAAGGTAGAGGTTAGAAGAAGAAGGGGGGGTAGGAAGATTTGGTGGGGGAAGAAAGAAAGGGGAAAGGCGGAGAAAAGCCTCAAAGCTTTAAAATTGGATGGGAGAAGAGGGATTTTTTTTAGAGACAAAGGATGAAATATAATTTTCTGTAAGAAAGATTCTGCTAAGGTACAGAAGATGGTATTGTAACATTTATATTTGAAATAGTAAATTAGAATGGTTTAAGATTTAATAAGAAATTAAAATGTTGAAGTTTTTAATAATGATTGATTTTTAAAATGTAATAAAATATCGAAGGAAAGGAGGATACAATGTATTTAAACATTTTTGGTGGATAGAATGTACCAAGCAGAACCAAATTGGGTATTTGTTATGCTGAATGTTAATTTTACTAACTTAGGGGGAGGATAGAAAGGCATCATACTCTGATTAGTGATTTCAGGAGAAATTTTTTTTTATTATAAGAAGAGATAGAGAGATAAATGAATGGGCAAAAGATACAAATTTAATGATTTAATTAAGATGGATTAAATAAGATAGAAATGTGAAGAGTGATATGTGCTATTATTATAGCCCATGCAAAGAGAGGTAACTGGGGCCAAGGTACTTTACTAAAAGATTTTTTTTATGTTTGTTTGTGTTTGTTTGTGTTTTATGAGAATACTGGGGAAATTATTGTAGAAAGACAGGGAAAGACTTAATATGTAATGATTTGTTTGTTGTTGAAACTTTTAATAAAACTTGTTTTAAAAAAAAAAAAAAAAGATTACAGCCACTTAATTTCCATAGCTTTGGATTTCTATTTATTAAATAAAATGTAATACATTTTATCAAACTTATTTACTTATGAAAGTTTTATGCTGTCCATCCATCTCCCCTATAAGGGATAAGTTAAAGCCCATTTTTTAACTTACAATCAAACAAAATAAGCATCAAGCATCCTTCATCCGTCATCTAAGAATCCAGAACATTTATCCTACATTTTTCCTCGGCTTACCTGGGCAATCGAACAGGATGTAATCATCTTCCACGTGACCGAGGCATTCTTCCAGCCAATCAAAATTGTTTGCAAAATATTCCATGCAAAAAACTAAGCCGCCATTGGGACCGAACCGGAGGGAATCATCCTCCATGACGTCGTCCACCTCAATCAACTCTCGGATATCTAAAAGGCAAAGAGGGGAGACCAAGAGGTGTCATCATGCCGGGCTCATCTCAGGGGAATTGTGGGAAAGGATGCTTGGACTCAGAGAGTGTGGTATGGTGGCCTAGAGGTGGAGCTCTCGTCTCACAATAAGTAGGCTGTGAGTTCGATCCTTGGTAGAGGCAAATATTTTTCTCTCTCCGGGCACAATGAGAATTTATCTGCTGAACAAAACTCCGTACTGGTGACAGGAAGGGCATCCGGCCAGTAAACACTCAGCTCCATTCAGTTGCCCAGACTCCGGCCTGCAAGGGATGATGGGATTGTTTCGTCATCATTTGATGATGATGATGATGCTTGGAGTCAAAGAATAGAATAGAATTCTTTATTGGTGTCCAAGTGTGATTGGACATACAAGGAATTTGTCTTGGTGCAAATGTTCTCAGTGTGCATAAAATGAAAAGATACATTCATCAAGAGTCAAGAATCATCAGGTACAAGGAATCCAGGTGGATAAATTCTGATGAGCTGCTTCTCCCTCAACCCAAATAAACCCACTGAATTTATGTTGGTCCCTTAAAGTCCCAGGTAACTCTCAGTTTTAGAAGGGGGGAGGGTGTTGGGACATCCTTACCTGCCATGACATCGTAGTCAAAGTGTTCTGCTGCTGGATCCAGGTTCACCACCTGCACCGAACGGTTGAGGGTTTCACAGTGCTGGACCATGATGGAGCAGTAGGTGCTCTGGAAGAGGAGAGGCTCGGTTGATGGAGGGGCTGCTGCAACCCACCTACCCGCTTCCCAGGATCTCAGGGTGGCCCCCTCACCAGGAGCCCTGCCCACAAAGGAGGGAAATAAAAGCACGGGGGGGGGAGAGAAATAAAGGGTGGATCTGGAGACAAGGGAACTACCAGCCACTAGATGGTGGGGGGACTTCAATTCCCAGAATTCCCCAGCCTGTATGTTGGAAGTCCCCCACCCCATCTTTAAGTTGCCAAGCTTGGAAAAATCATTGCCCTGGAAGCTCCTTCCCACCCAAGACTCACCTTCCCGCTCCCCGCGGGTCCCATCACCAGCTGGGCATAGCGAGGCATGGCCACCCCGGTCGCCCGCGGGGCAAAGGGGGGGGGGGGGGGGGGGGGGAACAGCAACGAATGTGAAGGCACTTGGCCCAAAGAACGACCCGTAAGCGGCCCTTCCTTCCCCCGACCGGCCGCTCTATGGTTTCCGGCTCACTTCCGCAAGCACAGCGACTCCTTAAGGGAGGAAGAGGAGGGGAAAAAAAAAAGGCGAGGAAGAGCAGCCGAGGTTTTCCCTCTGGTCCACCTCTGAGGCTCCTCGGCGGCGGCGGCGGGTGGCTCTCGTGGGAACTGGGCCGCTCTCGCGAGATCTCCCACCCGTCTTGCCTGCCTGCCTGCCTGCCTGCCTGCCTGCTTGAACGGCCGGAGAAGCGACCTGCCTGGAGGGGGCGTGCGGGTAAGGGGAGGGGGCGCCTTGGGGAACTCCCCGGCTTTCCCCAGCCCGGACTGGGCAACCCACCTTTCTTAACTCGGGGATCCCGAGAGCCCCCCCCAGAACCACCCCAGGGGTCCCGTGTCCTCTTTCTTGGGCGGCTTCAGCCTCTTGGGAGGAGGGCTCCCGGGGGGGGGGGGGGTCTGGCTGGGCCACCCTTGGGCAGGGGGAGCACCTTTCCCAGCTCTCGCCCCTCCCCAGTTGGCCTCAAGGCTTCTCCTTGGAAGAGCCCAGCCCTGGCAGTGCAACTGCTTTGGGCTTCCTTTGGGGAGGGCGGGGGTCTCCCATCCAAGGGGAGCCGGCTTCACAAGCCCTCATGGGATTGGACTAGAAGACCTCCAAGGTCCCTTCCATCTCTATCATTCTATGTTCTACAGGTTTGGGGCAAGGGGGTCTTCCAACTTGGCAAGTTTAAGACCTGTGGACTTCAACTCCCAGAATTTCTGAGCTAACAAGATTGGAGGAGGAATTCTGGGAGTTGAAGTCCACAAGTCTTAAAGCTGCCAAGTTTGAAGACCCCTGATC